AATAGTTTGCTGACTTCCTATCTTTCTGCACAGATAAGAAGTATGTGCCCCGAGCCGTCTTGGTGGACCTGGAACCTGGGACGATGGACAGCATCCGATCTAGCAAATTGGGAAGCCTCTTTCAACCGGACAGTTTTGTCCATGGTAGGTTTTTCTGGAAGGTTCCATTGGGACGAGAGAAGGATGCCTGCTAATGGCGTCCTCCTCTCTCCACCCTGCCTCCTCTGCCTCTGGGTAGATAACCACGTGTCCTCTGCCACAGGTAACTCTGGGGCTGGCAACAACTGGGCCAAGGGCCACTACACGGAGGGAGCGGAGCTGCTGGACAGCGTCCTGGACGTGGTGCGGGGCGAGAGCGAGGCCTGCGACTGCCTGCAGGGCTTCCAGATCGTGCACTCACTGGGCGGGGGCACCGGCTCAGGCATGGGCACGCTGCTCATGAACAAGATCCGGGAGGAGTACCCCGACCGCATCCTCAACTCCTTCAGCGTCATGCCCTCGCCCAAGGTGTCGGACACGGTGGTGGAGCCCTACAACGCCGTGCTGTCCATCCACCAGCTGATTGAGAACGCCGACGCCTGCTTCTGCATCGACAATGAGGCCCTCTACGACATCTGCTTCCGCACCCTGAAGCTGACCACGCCCACCTACGGAGACCTCAACCACCTGGTGTCCTTGACCATGAGTGGCATCACCACCTCCCTCCGGTTCCCTGGCCAGCTCAATGCCGACCTGCGCAAGCTGGCCGTGAACATGGTCCCCTTCCCCCGCCTGCACTTCTTCATTCCCGGCTTTGCCCCGCTCACGGCGCAGGGCAGCCAGCAGTACCGGGCCCTCTCGGTGGCCGAGCTCACCCAGCAGATGTTTGATGCCCGCAACACCATGGCTGCCTGTGACCCCCGGCACGGCCGCTACTTGACGGTGGCCTGTATCTTCCGAGGGAAGATGTCCACCAAGGAAGTGGACGAACAGATGCTCACCGTGCAGACCCGGAGCAGCAGCTGCTTCGTGGACTGGATCCCCAACAACGTCAAGGTGGCCGTCTGCGACATCCCGCCCCCGGGGCTGAGCATGGCCGCCACCTTCATCGGCAACAGCACGGCCATCCAGGAGTTGTTCACCAGGATGTCCGAGCACTTCGCGGCCATGTTCAGGAGGAAGGCTTTCGTGCACTGGTACACTGGCGAGGGCATGGACATCGACGAGTTTGTGGAGGCCGAGAGCAACATCCATGACCTGGTGTCCGAGTACCAGCAGATTCAAGACGCCAAAGCAGGTCTGGAGGAAGAGGACGAGGTGGTGGGGGAGGCAGAAATGGAAGCAGAGGATAAGGAGGGTTAACCAAGAGAGGCGGGCACGGGAGCGGCTCTCCACACGAGTGCTCTGGGCAGCAATCCCAAGGCCGCTCTGCTGGGCAGCACCGAGGACCACTGCACACAGCCACTCAGCGCTAGCTCGGACACAGACACGGGCAGGGGCAGGGGCAGGGGGCGGTGGGCGGGGCGGGGACATCACCGATGGCTTCAGGGCCTTCTCTGGCGCTGTATTCCATGCACATTGTCTGCACTCCTTTGAATAGTAAAGTGAACTTATCACAAAGGACTCCCTTTGTCTACAACTTTGTTTACTGTATGAACAGCACGCGCGGGCAGCAGGACAGCACATGATATGTGGGGAGGATGGTACCTTGTAACTGTCAGCGCATCGGGACTCCCGACTCAGTGTCCCGGGCTGCTAGGACTCTGCCCCCACCCCACCTCTCACACTTGCTGGCTTCCAGGAAAGCCAGGTGACCAAGTGGTATTGGGGAGCCACACAGCTGAGGCAAATGAGTCAACACCCACCAGGAAATTGTGTAGTCCTTGTGCACAACGCAGCCACCGACTGGACTGGAAAGGGGGAAAGGAAGGGGAGAAAAGTGCAGGCCGAAACCCAAACCAGAAACAACAGGCAAAACTCAGGAGCACCCACCAATCCATGCCTTGTTACCAGCTTTCAACACACACATGTACTATCTACGTTTCTTACTAGTGTTAGACTCTGGGACCTCATCGACCACCCTCTTTGGTGTCCCTGCAGCGGTTCTCAACCTGTGGGTCGCGACCATCGGAAAACACATATAGCATATCAGATATTTACATTACGATTCATAACAGTAGCAAAATTACAGTTATGAAGTAGCAACGAAAATAATTTTATGGTTGGGGGTCACCACAACATGAGGAACTGTATTAGAGGGTCGCGGCATTAGGAAGGTTGAGAACCACTAAGGCTACTTTGGAATGGCCTGCCCACTCCCATCCGGTCACCACCTTCTGAGCACGATGCAGCCCCTGCTCACTCAGAAGGGCACAGCCTGGGCTCGGCAACGTCCCTCCTGGTTACAGAGGACATCATCTCATTAGGGAACTTTTACAGTTCAGATTAATTTGCAGAAGTTGTCATGATGTTTGCAGGATGACACAGCTTTAACCATCACATGGTTTTAATCTGCTCTCATTGCAACAGGACCAAACACACAAGAGCATAATCAAATCGCCTGTAACTTAATTACAGCTTACCTATTTCTAACACGCTGCCGGCCCTGAGGGCCGTAAGGGTTTAATGGCCTACAATTACCACTGAGCTCTACCTTGTTTGCTCCGCGGACAGCAGGGATTCACTTGCGGACACTGGGTCCTTGCCTCCCGATTTGCTTCCATAATCTGCAATAATAATGAGGCAGCAGGTGCAGGCAGGTTTGGGGGGCTTGGGGGAAAGACATAGCTCATTCTGGGAAACATTACTCTTCACAAATGCATCAGAGGAAATGACTGAAATTGCCAAGAGAAAATTAAAGTCTTGCGGCCGGCAGTATAGCAAGCCTTCTATTTACAAAATGAAAAAGAAAAGTTTTAAACACTTTCTACTTGAGGTTCAAGAATCACTAAAAACACAATCAGATTGAATAAGAAGCTGCACCTGTAAGCTCTTACTTTGAAGTTGTGAACTTCCTTAGATGCTAAAAAGTCCTACAACCTGTGATTACCTAAGAATTCATACTCACGCTTCCTCGAGCACTTTCCTCCTCAAATCTAAAAAGGCAATTAAGTGGATGGGAGGAAGGATATAAATCTAAATTAAAAAGAAAAAGACTTCTGCTGACTTTTATTACTATAAAGATTTTTGTTTGCTCAATATTAATCATTAAAGTATAAAGAAATTCAATTTTAAATGGCTCAATTGCTTTATTTCAAACTAAATAAATTGCTTTTCTTGGAGTCTAACCACCCAGATTGATTAATTTTAGTTAAAAATATTTCAAAATGCATTGCATCAGCCTACTCTTTCATATGGTAGAAATAGATTAAAAAAAAAACACAAAACAAAAGTCTAAAAATCCAGAAACCAAAAGAAATCTGTCCTCTCTGATTTTGAAGAGCCGATTTATTTAGTAGTATGGTCGTTACAGTGACATTGGTCTCTCAGAGACCAACATAGTAGAATCGAATTTTAGAGTTTGTCCGATGCCTTCACCTCCTAGCCCAGAGCACTGCAAGAGATTAACGACAGCCTCAACCATCCCAACCAGTGACTAAAATACCCACAACTAGATCCGATTGGGGCCCCTGGTAACCTGGACAGTTCTGCCAGCTACCCAGCAGGGCTGGATGCAGAGTTTATTTAATCAGTTATCAGTTCACGGTATTTTTCAATCACAGAGAAAGAGCCTTAGAGAATCTTTGCTGGCAGTAAATTTATCTTTTATTCAGTTCCTTTATAATCCTTGCCATGTCACAAGCCCTGTCCCTAAGTCTCACCTCCAATGATCACATTTGCCTCCCTAATAAATGACTCATTTCTAATTACTTGGCTGGAAATTAGCTCTTTGCCTGCCCCTCACTTTGTCTGGTTATCAAAAAGGCCTAAAGGCCTCATGAGTCACTGACTCCTGTTTGTATGAATGATGCTTCCTAGTCCCTCCATCACCAAACAACCCAGGTGCCCAGACTTCAAAACAGCAGGACAACAGCCCAGGGCAAAGGACCACAGGAGCTTTAAGTGGCTTTCAGCCCCGCTCTCCCACTGCTCTGCTGCTCTCTGCATGTCCTGTGCTGAGAATTAAATAAAACCTACAGGTCAAGTGTCCTGGGGCAGGGAGTCTTCTCCACAAGCTGAGAACAAAGGCATTTTCTGGGCTCCTTCTTGGCCCTGCTAAAATTATTATTAGCTTAAGTGCCGTGGTGAGAACTGGTCCCAGGGCATGAACTGAACCCTGTTTCAAAATTTCCTGTTCAAACTTAGTTCTCTATTCTCCAAAAACAGCTAAAATTAAGCAGTTAATGCTGCAATGAAGTTTTACTCTGCCAAGTGCTTCCAAGTTTCAAAGAAAGATAAAAACAAGACACTTGCAATAATACTTCATCCATAAATATTTAATGACTAAATGAGTCACCTCGCAAACACCATCTAACTGTTGTAATCATCACCCCGAGACTGCAGTTAGGAGCCTGGATTTTAATTTCAGCTCGGCCATTAGTTCGATAAGCTGGTGACTGAGGCTGTGCCTCATTTCCTATGAGCAATACTCCCAGAATGTAAAGATTCATTCATCAGACAAGGTTTTAAGTGCACGAGAAAAACATAAATACTACAATTTAGTATTTTCCTTCTGGTCGAGGACTTGAGTTATTGTTTTCATTTAAGCTACTGGCCAAGCAGCACACTGCCTAGAGAGACGGCGGCCTGCACCAAGCAGGACGCTCTGACACGACCTCCACGATTCAAAGATAAGGGGCAGCCAGGGCCTTAATGACATAGGCTGTCAGTTAATGTCATGAAAAAGAGTACTTTCTATTTTGAGACACTTTCAAACTGTTTCCTGTATCTCTTTGGTCCCTGGATATTAAATCTGCTTCCCCTACTTGAGACACCTCGGTTCCCAGGGTCACGGCCCAGCAGTTGTGCAGACAGTTCCCATGAAGAAAAAGAACAAGTCCGACAGAAACCAACACAACAGCCGGAGGGGAGCATGTTTCGGTTTATTGGCAATGTCAATCCATCAACAAGACAGGTGTTACTTTCCCCATGAAGTGCGATCGTTTCCAATCTGCCATAACCTGTGCCCACACATCTTCACTTTGAAAATGTAGCATTCAAGCTTTAGTCAGGGTCTAGGAGAAAAAAGAAAATGCAGAAGTTGCTAGTCCTCTGTGTTTTCTTGAAAACCCAACATGAATGGGGGAAATAACCTCCTTACAGTGAATTACATAACATAACTGTGGCTTCAATGCACTCGGTTGGTGAGGAGCCTTGGCTCGTGGCAGGGCCTTAGCTCAACAGGCACTTACTTCCCTTAGTAAAACCAAACCCTTGCCTAGCAATAAAGAAACTACTTTGCCTTTAAAAGACACTAAAACCCCCTGTGCTGATGGGGTGGGGGCCGAATCCCCTGCAGGACATACAGAGAATGGCCAACGTTTTGTTTCCGGATCTGGACGCTGCATCCTGACCCAAGGATATCACAAGGTCATGGGAGTGAGATTCGGGGTTTGGCTAGACTATGCTGCAGAGCAGGGCTGTGATTCTGTAAGTTAGCTCACCGTTAAAAACAAAACAACCCCACATAAAACCTGGTCTCATCACTCAGAATTATGAGATTATACAGAGAGCCCCTAGAAAAAGGACTAAATTCAAAACACTGTATCTCTAGACTGGTAATAAAATATTTACTAATTCAAAATGAAAATGAGAAGCGCTTAGGGGAGACAGTTCCAATAAGTAAAATTGCTCATAACCACAAGCTGCCAAAGGATTAATATTTATCACATTTCCCTGCTACTGCGGGTTGGAAGCTTTTTGAAAAGCAAAACAAGAAAACGAAATCTGGGAAACATCTCTCTGGTAATTTACTTCACTTATCTTTGAAATAACAATGTTCAAAAAAGTGGTCTATAGAGCAAATCACTTTAGAAGTTGAGAGCACAAAGGTCTGACGGATCCAATGTACAGAACTGTCTTGTGCTGTGCAGAAGGGCACTTATCACTGCCATCATCTTCGGAGAAGTGGAATGGCCAGACCCCCGGAGAGCACAGCACATTTGGCAAAGCGGGCTCACTGCAGGGTCTTGCAGATTCTCCTGCCTGATACATGGCAGGACCCTTGCCTGCACTTGCAGCCCTTCATTAGGTAGCGCTATGTGAGAACATTAGCAGGTGTGGGGGAAAGAAAAACACAAAGAACTATAATTTTTCAAGCTCCTGAACTCTTATGTAACGCCAACAGCAATTACAAAAATGGGTAGTTTATCCTCCAGATTATTTGACTTTGTGCAAATGAAACAAGTTTAATTAAAATGAGATGGATCTCTACCTAAGCACGGCTAAATGAGCTGAAAATCAATGTGCCAATTACTTCTGCTTGTCAGGGCCCCAGACGACATTCTTTGATTTTGCCAAGGGACTTGTATAACCTGTATGCTTTACATTATTATCCCGCCAACTTCTACATGGACTAACTGACCAAAAATGGGACAAGTTCAAAAGTAAAATTACTTTTTTTAAAAAGTACTCTCAAAATTTAAGATGCACCTCTTCTAACTCAATCAGAACTTACACATTATTCCTTCTTCACTTTCACAATTTTGACGCTGCTGCTGGAAGTCTTCTCTGCGCTTGCTTTGAATTCAGTCTTCAGTGCATCCCGCACTGCTTTGGCACAGATCTGGGAGTAGCGGATGTAGCTGGGAGAAAATGAGAGACGATCCAGAGTTAATTATCAAGGATCCAGCCAGATTGGTTGTGTAACTGGTTTTCTTTTTCTTCCTATATTTTTAACTTTGGTTTGAGGGTCCATTATTATAGAACTGGATTTAGAAATGACAATGCCAACAGGAATCCATACAAAGAAAAAGAAGACCAGGAAGAAATATACCAGAGTCTTCACTGGTGTTAGGATGGGTGGGCTTTAGTTTTTGTACTTTATGTTGTTTTCCCCTCTTTAATACATATTAATTTAAAATAAAAGATGCACAGCCTGGCTGGCGTGGCTCGGTGGTTGAGCTCGACCTATGAACCAGGAGGTCATGGTTCCATTCCTGGCCAGGGCACATGCCTGGGTTGTGGGCTCGATCCCCAGTGTGGAGCGTGCAAGAGACAGCTGATCAATGATTATCTCTCATCATCGATGTTTCTATCTCCCTCTCCCTTCCTCCCTGAAATCAATAAAAATATATTAAAAAATAAAATATGCATAGATATATATTTTTTAAAACCCATAGCACAAGAAGCAGACCTAAATGTTAATGGAGTCTATAACATGAGGGATCCCCCCCAATTTCTCTACTTGAAACTTTTTATATTATTCCGACAAGGTAAAGTATGTATAATTAAAAGAGAAAAAAACTATTTTGAATTAAAAGTTCTCCCTCTGATTAATTATTTAAAGGTTTTCCTGAGAATATTGGATCCTGTTTCACAATTCTGCCATTAAACATACTTCCCAATCAAGGTTTCCAAATTAAACTGCACCAGTCCTTTGAGAATATCATCAATTCTAGCAAAGTATCTAACAGCCTGCTTCCTGTTTGGTAGATGGACGCCCATCAACATCTTATTTTCAAGATGTCAGCTCACTTGTACACTTTTTGAAAACAGGAAGGGGGGTGAGGGGGGAGCGATGCTGTCTATTTTCTCATGTTTTCAGATTAGGGGTTTTTTTGGCCAAGAGGTAGGCGTTCCAATGCCTGCTTCCACTCTTACTAATTGGGTGACCTTCAGGCTGTTCAATCTTTCAGCTCGTTTATTCACCCAGAGAAACAATAGAATAAAACAGACGGGTAATTACACTCGCCCCACCTGTGGGTGGGAGGAGGAGAGACAAAGTATGAAAAGCATGAGTCACCCCTTCCCGCACACAGTAGGTGCTTCACACGGAAAGTGTGGTGTCAGTCACAGGGACTGACATGGGGCTTAACGTGTTAATAAACGGTGCCCATTCCTGGGACTACCCTCCTCCCAGTTCTGCAAAGTCAGGCGGGCTCTGGGGCTGCTCGGCGTCTCCCAGCCTCTACCCACGGGCGCCACTAGGAGGTGCTACTTTATCCGGGCAGGTGAGGAGGTGTGTCCCTTGGGCCAGAGGAACCAGGAGGGACCGGGCACCCAGCACCCAGAGGGGTCCTCCCCGGGACACTAGCTGCTATGTCCTCAAACGAGTTCCGTATGGGAGCGTCCAGGAGCCACCGCCACCTGTGCGCAGGGCTCTCTGCAGGTAAGAGCAACGGAGTTAATGTACCATAAACATACACAGTGCGCACCATCGTCAAGGGCCCCAATTCGATGCTGGAAGGCAAACCCAAAAACGGCTGGCAGTGGCCACATCCAGAGGGCTGTCCCCCATTCTTCCAGCTCCCACGTTGTATGTCACCTGCCACTTTGACAACCGATGTCGTGAGAAGGGCAAAGGGCCTGCGCTGAGAGCCGCCGTCTCTGGGGGGCGTCGCGC